TACATCCTGCTAATCGTCTATGTAGACGATCTGCTCTACATCGGCTCGACCGACGGTGTCACAACCTGGTTCGAAGGGGAGCTGCAGCAAGACCTCACGCTCACGGTCTCATCTACCGTCACACAGTACCTCGGCCTCAACATCCGGGAAGAGGAAGACGCGATCTACCTCAGCGCCGCGAAGTACGCCGACACCATCGCCAAACGCTTCGCTCTCACACCGACCGCCATCTCCATGCCATACCGCTACACGACAGGAAATAACAAGGGAGGCTCTGCTCTACTCAAGCCCGCCGGCATACGCGACTACCAGAGGAAGCTGGGATGCCTCCTCTTCGCAGCTGTCACCTGCCGCCCGGACCTATCATACTCTGCAAGCCAGCTCGCCACCTACCTTAGAAGCCTGAAGCGGAACATCTGGCGGAGCTCGACCGCGCTCTTCACTACCTCGTCAGCACCCCGACGATCGGCCTGAATTACCACAACAACGGAACTGCTGCACATAAACTAATCGGCTACGTCGACGCCGATCACGCCGGCGACTCCGACAACAGGCGCTCGCGCACCGGCTACATCTATCGCTTCGAGCCTATCGGTCCTATCTCCTGGCAATCGAGCAAGCAAGAATTAATCGCCCTTTCTTCGGCTGAAGCAGAATATATCGCACTCTGCTCAGCCACCAAGGAAGGACTTTACCTTCGCGAACTGCTGGAAGAAGCGAAGCTAGCTCAGTTACCCAGCTTCACCCTGTTCTGCGACAACCAGTCGGCAATTCGCATCGCCAACAAGAACGGCTTCGCGAACAGGACGAAACACATCGCCCTGCGATACTTCTTCGTGAAGGACGAAATCGAGAAGGGGAGACTCGAGCTGTCATACTGTCCCACGTCCGAGATGGCAGCTGACTATTTGACCAAGAAGCTCGGAAAGCAGAAGTTCGAGTACTGCATGCTGCTGACTGGACAGAGCCACGTCACCAGCAGCGACACTCCAGAAGCGAAGGGGAGTGTTGGAAACAATTAATTCTAAGCGCCTCTGTCGTGTCGAAACACCAAGTCAGAAGCGAAGCGAAACATATCGAAGCACCGACGAGTCAACCCTCGGAGGTTGAGCAGTTGTTGGAGGTTACGCGAAAGTCAAAGGTCAGCGACCTTTGACCTGACAAGTACAGCGCGACAGCAAGGGCACACAACTGACTTGTTACAGAGCAGTTGCCCGAGTCGTCACTGTGTCGAACCGCAACAGCAACAGTAAAGTAGATATACCTGTATCTCTTCATATTCCTTGTACTCTTATATAATCTTGTATCTCTTTGCTTTAATCAATTCACTTTGCCCTCAACCTTTATTAAAACGCTTCCGCTATTGCATTGTTCCTACCAAGAATTCACTCTTGCAAAGATCCTAAGGGCTATTTCTCAACCCAACATGTACAAGCAGCACAGAAGCATTGCAACACTGGCTACCTGGTCCAGCCACAAGAGTTGCGCATCACAAGAGTGGTGCAATGTGTACCACAGTGCAAGCAGCTTCGGAATAACAAGAGGCTCTAAGCGCTCGCTCCAGAAACACCGATAACTGTCAATCAGCCACAACAGCAGCTACACACAATCGAGTCTGGCGGAAGTACAACAGCTACATCGCACCCCTAGCTGTTCTGCACAACTCATCCATACCTCAAAGCTCAACTGTGGAGCATCATCAGGCAGTGTGGCAGAGCAGAGTTCAGGGTGTGCTCTGTTTGTGCAGCAGCTGGCAGCAGCGCTGCTTGCATAATGCTCAGCTCACCACCCCACAGATCGGGAATCGAGGCCCCACAAGGGCTGGTGAGTGGGGGAGTGCTGTGGTGTGGCGGCATTGACACAACCTACTTCAGAATGTAGAGCAGCAGCGCTACTTCCATAATGCTCAGCACCCCACAGATCGGGAATCGAGGCCCCACAAGGGCTGGTGAGTGGGGGAGTGCTGTGGTGTGGCGGCATTGACACAACCGGCTTCAGAATGCAGAGCAGCAGCGCTACTTCCATAATGCTCAGCACCCCACAGATCGGGAATCGAGGCCCCACAAGGGCTGGTGAGTGGGGGAGTGCTGTGGTGTGGCAGCATTGACACAACCTTGGCCATGAGCGAAAGGGATAAGGCTGAACGGCAATGAGCGGCAACTCGAGTCACCTCGCGAAGTGCCCTCCCGTCCACCCAAACCGAGGGTTGGGGGAAGTGTTCCCCCGTTTCGGCAAGCCCGAGGCGCAAGCTGCTGCAGAGTTCGCTGGCGCGTTGCGCGGACTGTCTGGAATCCGCGGGTAAGTCTGCCGAGAATATGTACTGAAGGCGGGGAAAGGCGAAAATATGTTGAGTGAGCGAGATATGTTACACTGAGGATGCTCATGATCTGACGGCTCAGCACAGCTCTCTGGGCTGGCGAGGTGTGGTGTAGATGGTATGCAAAGTTACCACCATCAGATGTCAGTCTCGAGATCCTATGGATAGGTATGTCACGGCCGAGGCGAATTTGAAATGGTGGTGTCAGACGACGAATTCAAATAGAGTCGCTTGTCAAGTCCCTCGTGATTCAGGCGGGATCAGGGCTCAGGTTTGGTTTTGGCCTACTCATGATTGGCAGTGTAGCTTTTTCAAAAACCCTTATGGGCAGTGTGTACTTTTCCATTACACTGATAGAGCAGTGTAACATCAGGTTTTGAAATTTTTACCCTGCATCATCAGTGTGGTTTTATTTCAAGCACTGACCATGTGTAAATTAGGTGTGTATGACAGGTGGCGAGAAAGTTATCTGCCTCCCAGGTCCCCTGCCCCCTCGATCGATTGTTTGTGAGGGGCGGGGGGGAAGGGGAGGACTTACGAAATTGGCGACAATTTCGCCTCCCCTTCCCCCTCGATCGATTGTTTGTGAGGGGCGGGGGGGAAGGGGAGGACTTACGAAATTGGCGACAATTTCGCCTCCCCTTCCCCCTCGATCGATTGTTTGTGAGGGGCGGGGGGGGAAGGGGAGGACTTACGAAATTGGCGAGAATTTCGCCTCCCCTCCCCCTCGACCGATTGTTTGTGGGGAAAGGGGGGGGAGGGGAGGGGGTGGGTGTGGGGGTCCGTGTACGCTCTTCAGTGTAATCCTCGCTAAGGGAAACTTTACCCCAAGGCATCAGTGTGGCCTACATCGATACACTTACTGATCAGTGTAACACTAACTCATAAAAAAATTACCCCAGCACATCAGTGTAGACCCAAAATTTCACCCTTGTAATCAGTGTAGAAGGGTAAATTACACTGATAACCTGAGCCCTGGGCGGGATGGAGCTTTCATACGCGTTTGGATTTTACTTATGAGAAAATATAGTCGGTTACAGAGGTAAAGGTAAGTTACTGATAAATACATATTGCTATCATTTTGTCACACACCTGCCATTACACCCAGGGCCCAAAATTGGTTTAGGCCTACTCTTCCAAATCAGGGTACTAGGCCCTCCTTGAACAGACCCCTAGGGTAAAATTTTTCGTACCCTGCTTTCAGCAGGGTAAATCAACCACCTAACTTATTTGAGCAGGGTAGTGTTAGGCTTAGCCTGTTTTGATTACCGGCGACTTCACTATCGCGTTCCAGACGGAAAAGGAATACGGTATGCGTCGCGGGCCACGACGCGCGGTGCAATGGGAAGCAGCGCGGCGCGCTGCGGGAGACTCCTGCAGCGGGGGACGTTAAATGAATTCATGTCGGGAATTGCGCGTCGAAAAGTATGCTCTTTGTGGAAATCGTGTGTCGAAGAGGTGGGAGTGCTTCAATTTGTTTTTCGCTAACTCGCACTGTAACTACTTCCCCGTTACCACAGGTTCCGTCCTCGTCCCGCAGTGCTTGAGGTCTCAATTAAGTGGCAACGATGCACGAAAAGTGCCTGGTTTCTCGTTCCGTCAGCACACTCCGTAGGGTATCTCTCACGCTATCTTCTCTCCTCTCGCCCCGTGTGCGCCCCCACAGTGCGGAGTTTGTGGGGGTGTGGTAAATTTTGACACCACGCGGACTGTGATCTGATTCGCGTTAGGAATGTTTCGGTAAAAAGGTAGTGTACACTATACCCTGATTCCGTCAGGCTAACCTAAAAACCAATCAGGGTGAAATAAAACATGCTCTTTTAAGAGAAGGGTAACTATCTCGCATTCCTGATTTTGGCAGGGTAATCCTGAAAAAACGGCCGACCCCCAGGGTAATCAGGGCGTTTTACCCTGATATTTTGGGCCCTGATTACACCTCACCTTTTGTTAAACATTTGAGATCAGTCAACTCGCGTAAATACATACAAAAACTTTAGAGTAGCTAGTATGATAACTATTTTCCCAATTATCATATTTTGCTTTGATATTCCTTTTCATCAAAGTCCCCCATTATTGGACGTCTAGTAAAATGACAGGCACCATGATTCTCGTCACTCCATACACCACCATGTGTGCATCCGCATAAAGGTCTGGCAGCACCACTCGTACACTCCCCTGCGCTCCCAACACTGGCTTGCCTTGCCCAGCACGATACCCTCCCCTTCCACCTTCTCCATCTCCATCTCCTCAAACCCTGTTGTGAACTGCAAGCAGCGCAGGAGTGGGGAGGATTTTGGGGTGGAATTGGGGAGGAGTGGGGGATAAAGGAGGTTCAGCGCAGGAGAGAGGGAGGATTTTGGGGTGGGGGGTGGAAAGAGAGGGACTGGCTGGGGGAGGGAGAGAGGAAGGGGCCGGGGGGGACGTAGTTGAGAAGAGAGGGAGGGCTGTGGGCTGGAAGGGGGTGGATTGAATGAGCACGAAGCGCCAGCACATGTACGGTCAAAACCCAACATGATAAAAAATGTTGCTGGTGCGATGCGTACATGAGCGGAACACCCCAGGTGCTCAATCACATCCCTGGGGATCCCACAACCACAGCACAGCGTGCCACGGAGCATACAGTGCATGCCAAACCTAAAATAGAGTCACATTAACAGCCGGGGAAAGCACAGCTTGCACGCACCAGTGAGCCTGCCGGTAGTTCTGCCAGCTGAGCGGCATAACTATCGGTGCGGTGCGTGTGACGCTGGTGCGGCGCGTGAGGTAGCGGCAGGGAGGTGAACGTGCCGTAGATGGGCGAGAGAAGCGTTATGCGCATCCACGATAGGAGAAACGATAGCGCCGGTGAATGTTGAATTCTGGGCACGGGAGGAAACACGCCGGGGAAGGGAGAGCACCAGGTGGGACGGCAAGGGGGGAAGGGAAAAGACGGCAGGGGGAGTGATGAGGACAATGGGGGGCTTTGGGCAGAAAGCCGAAGAAACATTCATAGGAAAAGACGTATAAAAGAAAGAAAGAATTTGCAGGAACAAACGTATAAAATGCATGTTTCCTCGCTCGTTAGCAGAATTGCCCAGAGAACGATACCAAAGCGCATGCACATGTACGGTCAAAACCCAACATAATAAGACACAGCAGTGCATCAAGGGCATCATGCACAGTAGTGCGCAGCAGTGCATCATGCGCAGCAGTGCATGAAGCTGACACGGCAGTGCATGAAGCTGACACGGCAGTGCAAGCCACACGCCAACAGAGGCACACTACCAACCAGAGGAAGCACAGCATGCACGCACCAGTGAGCCTGCCGGTACTTCTGCCAGCTGAGCGGCAGTGAGAGCTGCATGACGCTGGCGCGGCGTGTGAGGTAACGGCAGGTAGCGTCAGGTGCTGTTGAATTAGCGTCAGGTGCTGCTGAATTCTGCGCATGGAAAGGAAGGGGAGGTGAGGAGGGGAGAGGTGGGGGAGGGGGGGGGGGAGAGAGGGGAGGAAGAGGGGGAAAAGGGGGAGGTACTGAAGGCGTGGTGTTTCTCACGTGGAAAAGAGATCACATGGTACCCGAAACCACGTGCTTCTGATGATTAGCATTCTGCGTGCCAGTGGAACATATACAACAAGTTTGTAAACTAGCGAGATCTGCTATTGCGCTTCTAGAAGCAGTCTAAAAGCAGTAAGAATCGCGCGTCGCGTGTTGATGTTCCGAATCTTACGAATTCGTTCTCTGGCAGCGTCAAGTCAGACGGGATCGTCCGACGACCACCAGCGTGAGCCCTTTCTCGCTGCCATCGCCGCGTAAGCCGCTTCCGCGTCGCACTCTTGTAACGAGTCCGCACAGACTTCCCTTCCGTCATCGCGTATCCTTGTAACGAGGATAGCGCGTGCCATTATTGGAGCGGCGACTACGGCGCGAATCTGTGCAATCGCGAAAAAATCCACTTATGCGAATCTGCGCGGAGAGGAGATGAGCACCGACAAGGCATGGCGGGGCGTTTACGGACAGCCTCTAATAAACCTTCCAAATCGGAGCGATTTCGCTGCTAGTACCGATATTAGTGACTGAACTCATGACCGCGCCGATATAAGTGACTACGCGGCGCGTTTCAAAGAAAGGATGCTCCTAACTGAAGCTACTAACATTTTAATCTTCTAACATTGAAGCTGCCGCAGCGTGATGGTCAAATCTACTAAAGCCGTCCCAGAAAAGTCTCGTAGCGACAATGGCGCGCTTGAGACAGGAGAGTTCAAATTCATTACGGTAATATCCAATCTAGGGCAATGATCCAGTGAAGGTCCCAGAATCACTGTTTGGTTTAAATTAAACAAACCAAAAGTTCCATATTTACTACTGCTCCAATAATTACGGGAAATGCACATCTGGTGCATCAGTTGACAAATTAAATAACATGCTAGTACGTAGCACTCTTTGTCTACATATGCCTGGACTAAATCAACACCTATTGCAGCAATAGTTTGTTGGTAATTATCCATTCTACAAGTTCCTAATGACTATCCAGATTAAATATTAAATTAATTGTACTATTGTACTACCCATGCACTGTAGGTGTGCATGGGGGGTTCCTCTTGGCCGCCAGGAGCAAGCTCCCAACGTTCACCCAAGCACCACGGTGAGGTGGGAACCATCGCTTAGGACCCTGTTGGAGGGGGGGGAGACAGAACACAAAAGGAAACTGGATACTGCCCAGGGGCAGGTGAGAATTAATATGTGACTCTGTTGGGGGGGGAGACAGAACACAAACGGATACAGGATACTGCCCAGGGGCAGGTGAGAATTACTACGTGACCCTGTTGGGGGGGGAGACAGAACACAAACGGATACAGGATACTGCCCAGGGGCAGGTGGAAATTATTATGTGACCCTGTTGGGGAAGGAGACAGAACACAAAAGGATAGGCAGGTGGATATTATTATGTGACCCTGTTGGGGGGGGAGAGAGAGCACAAAAGGATAGGCAGGTGGAAATCAATATGTGACCCTGTTGGGGGGGGAGAGAGAACACAAAGCAAACTGCAGTGAGGATGGAGAGTTTGAGAGTGAGTTTCGAGACGTCTCTCGAAACTCACAAGAGAGAACAGATCTGCCACAGAACTGCCACCGGCGCCTCAAACCAGCAAACGAGGTCCTGCTCTGCTTCGCTGCAACCTGTGTTCCCTGCAACCTGCTTCAACCCCTGTTCTGCTTCGCTGCAACCTGTGTTCCCTGCAACCTGCTTCAACCCCTGTTCTGCTTCGCTGCAACCTGTGTTCCCTGCAACCTGCTTCAACCCCTGTTCTGCTTCGCTGCAACCTGTGTTCCCTGCAACCTGCTTCAACCCCTGTTCTGCTTCGCTGCAACCTGTGTTCCCTGCAACCTGCTTCAACCCCTGTTCTGCTTCGCTGCAACCTGTGTTCCCTGCAACCTGCTTCAACCCCTGTTCTGCTTCGCTGCAACCTGTGTTCCCTGCAACCTGCTTCAACCCCTGTTCTGCTTCGCTGCAACCTGTGTTCCCTGCAACCTGCTTCAACCCCTGTTCTGCTTCGCTGCAACCTGTGTTCCCTGCAACCTGCTTCAACCCCTGTTCTGCTTCGCTGCAACCTGTGTTCCCTGCAACCTGCTTCAACCCCTGTTCTGCTTCGCTGCAACCTGTGTTCCCTGCAACCTGCTTCAACCCCTGTTCTGCTTCGCTGCAACCTGTGTTCCCTGCAACCTGCTTCAACCCCTGTTCTGCTTCGCTGCAACCTGTGTTCCCTGCAACCTGCTTCAACCCCTGTTCTGCTTCGCTGCAACCTGTGTTCCCTGCAACCTGCTTCAACCCCTGTTCTGCTTCGCTGCAACCTGTGTTTCCTGCAACCTGCTTCACCAGGCAAAGCAAAAAAGGCAACACCCATGCGTCAGAATGAACAAACCAGCTAACGCAAGTGCTAAACGTATAAAGCAACAACAATGCATCTGAACGAACAAACAAGCTAACGCAAAAAAGAGGAAAACCATTGGCAGCACATATTTACTCCACCTCTGCTTGTTCGCTCCATCGCTCCCTAAATCCAGAGCAGCAAAGGAGATCCTCACCAGCAGTGGCGGGGAATTCCCCTTTGCCTCCTCTGCTCCATTGCTCCTTCAAACTTTCGCACGCCTCCTCTCCTCAGCTGCTCCTCCTCCTCTGATGCATCTCGTCTGCTCCTCTTCCCCTGATGCATCTCATCTGCCCTTCCTCTGCACCACTCCCCCTCCAGTGCAGCACCACTCCCCCTCCAGTGCAGCACCACTCCCCCTCCACTGCAGCACCACTCCCCCTCCACTGCAGCACCACTCCCCCTCCAGTGCAGCACCACTCCCCCTCCACTGCAGCACCACTCCCCCTCCACTGCAGCACCACTCCCCCTCCAGTGCAGCACCACTCCCCCTCCACTGCAGCACCACTCCCCATCCACTGCAGCACCACTCCCCCTCCACTGCAGCACCTCTCCCCCTCCACTGCAGCACCACTCCCCCTCCACTGCAGCACCACTCCCCCTCCACTGCAGCACCACTCCCCCTCCACTGCAGCACCACTCCCCCTCCACTGCAGCACCACTCCCCCTCCAGTGCTGCCACTGCTGCTGCCACTGCTGCTGCCACTGCTGCTGCCACTGCTGGCCTTCTCTTTCTGCTTGCACTGTTGCTTCCACCGCTGCATGCCTCTCCCCTACTCCCACCGCTGGTGTCACTGCGGGTGCCACCTCCAATAGAGCAGCAGCAGCACCACCTCCTAACGCAGCAGCAGCACCACTCCCCCTTCAGCAGCAGCAACACTCCACCACTTCACAACACCAGCAGCAGCAAATGCGAGGGAGGTAGGAGCGAGGCAGCACAAGGCAGCAGAAGGTAGGTACAGCTTGCACCTTGCTGCTGCCAACTTTCGCGCCTTGTCTGCTCCTCTGCTCTAATCGCCTGCTCATCACCTCTCCTGGAGTGGCCTCCTCTCCCAGCAGCTGCCAGTCGTCCCCTCCGATCGACCATCACTGTCTAGGTAGGCCGTGAACATTAGCCCCGTAAAATCTTATTCTACGTACTACGTCATCAGATTCAATAGTTAACAACTCTTGTAATGTGAAAGCAGTTCCAAAGGCTTGAAATGTCGAGCATTCCATCTCTCTTGGTCTTTGACCATCACAATGGGACTTACCACAAAGAAGATGCTGTGTAACTAAGCCAACGGCCATTATAGCTTAGTTACACAGCAACCTCATGGTGGTAAGTCTCATTTTGGTGGTCAAAGGTTCGAAGAATGGAATGCTGGGCATTACAAGCTTATGGAGTTGCTTACGCATAAAAAGAGATGTTAACTGTAGAATCTGATGACGCAGCAGGTAGAATCTGAATTTACGAGGTGAAGTGTTGTAGCCGGCTCAATTGCTCCCACTGCTGCTCCTCTGCTCCTCTGCAGTAGCACACAGGAAGGGTGGCCTTCTCCTCTGCTTCTGCCACCGCTGCTACCACTAAGTCCGCACATTAAGTCTTGACGTCGGCACTTGGTGCTTAGCGTCGGCGCTTCAACTCTCCACAAGAGGTCGCCAACAGGTCTGCTCCTCTGCTCTATTCACCTGCTCATCACCTCTCCTGCAGTGGCCTCCTCTCCCAGCAGCTGCCAGTCGTCCCCTCTGCTCCTCTCCCAGCAGCTGCCAGTCGTCCCCTCTGCTCCTCTCCCAGCAGCTGCCAGTCGTCCCCTCTGCTCCTCTCCCAGCCCATTCTCACTGGCAGTGGCAATGGCCGGGAATCCTCCTTCGCCTCCGCTGCTCCGCTCCCAGCAGGTGCCAGTCGTCCCCTCTGCTCCTCTAGAGTAGCACACGGGAGGGAGGCAGCATAATGTTCTCCCACTGCTGCT